AGCACTTTAACACCCCAATTTCTTCGTTAGAACATTACAGCCGCCGACGTCGAATCTCAGACATGGAGAGCAGGAGGATATGGGTGGATCTAGCTACCTCCGACACAATCCCTATTCGACACTGAATTTGCCCACTGACATCCACTTGGACGTCGTCCAACCACTGACATGCAAAACAACCGTTTGATCCTGGCTTCCCAATGAAAGGAGAGGACGGAGAACGACGATAGAGATGAAGGGAGCGGAGGAAGGGCCCTCTACGAAACATTTAGGCCAACAGTGGTAGACGACTAATGTATCAATCCCTAGCCTTTCTGACAATCATTGTGATCCTTATCACCCAACATTTTACTAAACCCATTACCTATTGCAAATTTTAGGTAGAGTTCCTACTAAAGTACACAAATCCCCCTACAACAATTTAATCAGGACCACTGGTTAGACATTTACTCATGGCAAATTTGAGAACTGGAGCAAAACTCTACCATCCTAAATTTGAAAATAGTCAAGTGTAAAAATAATTTAAGTCCATCCAACTATACCTGAAATAATAAGGGATCCCACAGTACATCATCATATACAACTAACATTGCTATGTAAGTTAAGCATTCTAGGCAGGGGCGGATACATGGGCCTCTAGGGGTGTCCCGGGACACCCCTAAAATTTGGGGAAACGATTATCCAACCTCCGGTAGTAATTTCGTATGTGTATACAAAATATAATTGGTAATCCGGGACACCCTAACATTTGAAAAAATAATTATCCTACCCTCGATAATAGTTTGCTTATGATTAATAAAATATAAGTGGTAGTCCGTGTTATTCCAACCTAGGACACTACTATTATCAAACATATTCCAATTATGTTGCTACTCATTTGTTATTCTATTTTAAACATCATGCAACAGTAAAACGCTATTTCTTTATCCCCAACTATTTTCAATACCTAATAATTAAACTACGTACACGCTACCCTTAATTTTGAATTGATTTTATGGTTACATGGCAAGTGTTGAAAGAGTCTTTTCTACTTTGAGCTACATTAAGAACAATGTTAGAAATCGAATATGTGATAAGTTCGTGAAGTATTGTCTAGTAGGATATGTAGATTTTTTGAACAGTGCAAACATGGAGTTTATTTATATTATTTTTTCAAATATGAATTTTAATTTATTATTTTATAAAAATTATACAAGTATGATATTTTTAATATACGAATTATTTAATTTATTATATAATTAAATTTAATTTTTGAAGAGGACACCCCTGTGAAAATTTTCTGAATCCGCCACTGATTCTAGGAGCTAGGAAATATGTAGCGTAATGTAGTAGTGTTGCAACTTGATTAGAAGATAGAGCCATAGATAAAAGAGGGGAAGAGATAGTGTATATATATAGTTATTGTTAGAAGGCATGATGATTTGCATGATGCTCCATGCATAAAAAGAAATGGAGTCACAAACTTGGTGAAGTATTCATACAAAGTGACTTAGCAAAATAAAACGTGTAGGTATAGAGAAACACACAATCCACTCAGCTATAATACGTATAAAGTCATCGATAAACCTAATTGAATATTCATGAGAATAAACATTCAAAAACTCGATCATCTGTGCATCACTTTCTGAATTCACATGGACCTTCCTCTTTAGTGACTCGACTAAAGGTGTTGCAATATAATATCATGGTTCGCTTGATCAATTTTGGTGCATTTGGCAGCATCAAGGTCACCAACTTCATGTTCACTACTAATATTATGGGAGCTTTAGGCATTAATATTTGTAGTATCGAGCAAAGCTTATTGATACATCCACACAACCACCCTATCCATTAAAAAACACGAAATATATGTAGCTCATTAAGCCATGGAGATTCAGGAAACACATATACAATGCAGTGACAATACTAAACCACATAACTCAACTTTTGAAAGCCACAAAGTTTGGCAAAACTACAAAGATGTAGAGATAATAATAACTTAACAACTTTACCAAAACTCATACCCCCAACACTGTCTAATTCTATTATAATAATAAAAGTACCTATATAGCTAATTGAGTACTACTTTTCCTTACCTAAACTTATGTAGGGAAGCTATGAGAAACTTCAAATCAAGAATAGACACAGCAAAATAAAACACCATGACATAATCTACAAAAGGCATTCATCCTTTGTTGGTGGCCAGCTTTTAATTTCCCTAGAAATTTATTAGTTTCCAAGAACATAACAAACAAAAAAGGCCCGGAGGAGAAATCAGCTGTGGAACAGAATACTCTACATAATGATATGATAAGATGAATGCATCAGATCTATGTTTGAGACATAACTTAGGCCTATCAACTCCGAGAACAACAGGCTGAATTTCAAATGAGAACACAAAACTTTAAACTAAACATTGTAGATTCTAATTTTTCACTAATTGTCTTATGAATACTAATGCTAAACCCTTATCATTTCTAGCAAATCCTAAGTTTTTGTCATGAACAATAAAAATGAAGGTATCTCACAGAGAGTGAGCCAACCCATGGTATCCCAAAACCGAAGCAGGAAACTTTGGGCATTCTCATTTAAAAAGAACACCAAAAGGAAACACATGTTTATTTTGTGAGACAACTTATCCTGCTGCCACTCACCAATACAAACTAAAAAAGCACATCTCATGAGAATATGTAAAGCATGGTAAGGCTTATCCCACCACTGCTAATGTCACAGTCTGCGCCAGTCATGACACCTTCCAAATTGAAAGCTGAAGGAAAGAGCAAAGTACCAACTTGCACGCCACGACGGAGGGAGACAGTGCAAGTGGCACCAGCAAATCCGACGATGGCTAAAGCCGAAAGCTTGATTAGAAAACTCAAAAGCGAAAATAGGGGTGGTGGGATCCTGGGACGAAGAGGGGCAACCCGGTCTCCCGAAAACAGGGGCGGAGAGAATAGTAGGAGAACATCGAATGTGGGGTTTCCAAAGGGTAACATTAGTGCGACATGCCTGTAATTCAAACATGGAGAATAGAATACAAAGAACAAAACAAAAAATGAAACAAAACAAAAAAGGAACAATAAGAAACTGAACATAAAAGAATAGAAAAATGAACCACGGTGGAAATCAACAACAAATAAAGCCCGCAAAAGAAAAAGGTTAGATAAAATTGACTGAAGGTGAGCGAATGACATGCCCACAGTTCATAGCACCGGATCTGAACATCCCGACAACAGATGAAGTTGTGACTGGTTAGCGAGCCTCCTTTGTCCTTTGTTCCTCTCCAACCAGAATTGCAAACTATTCGACGTCAAAATCGAGCGCGTGGCCCTCTAGCTAGTTCCCCTTTTGCTGTTGCTCGGTTGCCATTCACTCAGTCTTGGAGAATAGCGTCGTCGACTATATCCATCAACAGGGAGCAATCCAGAACGGGAACTGGAGAATACGAGTAGAGAAGGCCCCAATAGGCGAGGTCACACAAAAGAGATTTTGAATTTGCTCACCGACGAACCAAAATTGGAATCCCCACCTCTGGCCGTCGCAACTCAGAAACCTAGATCTTCCCCTTTCGTCGCCTGATACCCGAGTTTCCTTTGCCGACGAAAAAACAAAGGAACTGATGCGAAGGGGAAGAGGAAGGAGCTTTGCCTCTGGATTTTGTTGTTTTGCAAATAAATACAAATTAAATGAGAACGTGGGCCTGGAAGGAGAAAAAGATGTGTAGTGGACAGTTTTTTGGTTCTGAAATCAGGCGGGATTCCTTTTTTTTCCGCTTAACACTCCGCCACATCAGCTTCCTAAAATCACTCTATGGGCAGGAAATTTTGAATGGGGGGTGCAGTTTTACTTTTCAACTATAAATTATACTGTTGATAGTTCACACTTCACACTCCATGATCCATCCACACACCCGCTGCGCATACAGTATAGTCTATGGAGTAAAAGTGAGAACCTGAATACAATCGACAATTGAAATCACTATGCGAACAAGGAAGAACCAATCGAGCACATCAACCAAGCACAGTAAAAAAAATAATTTTAACAAGAATATAAGAGAATTTTAAGCATCGCCTAATAGTTTAAAGACCTTATATAGTTATACATACTCTTTCAAGAATGGATGATTGACGTCAACCTCTGCAACGAGGAAACGAGTGTTACGTTCAATTCGGGTTGATTTGCAGCGCGTTTGTTTGTAACCTTGGCAAGTGCGCTCAATCACATTTGCCGTCCCGAGTTAAAAGGATTAGCGGAGGGTTTAAAAAAGTAAAAGCTAATTACCTGACTGTATTATGGTGATATGAGTATTGTCAAATTTCATATTTAGTAAGTAATGTTAATATGAATGCAATTAAAAAAGTGTAGTGAAGTCTCCCGGCCCACATCATCCTGGCAGTACTGTCGATATATATATGTGAGACTGAGAGAGACTCGTCGCTTTTTTGTGGCCGGATAAACAGAGTGAAAATTGAAAGAGAAGAAGAAGGAGAGAAGATTATGAGGGAGTGAGTATGTAAATATATTATGGTCACATGGATTACGTCGCTGGCCTGCCCCGCCTCCAGTCCAACTGCAACTGCACTGATCAGTTCGTTTTTTTGTTTCCGGTCAAAACTGCAAAAGCTAGCGTCGCAGGCGGACGACTAACGGGTAATGAATAGCCTACGCAGCACTGCCCCCTCTTACGTAATACGGACTGACTCGGTAGAGCCAGCCACCATCCGTACATCATATAAAATTACATATCCGACGTCCGTTACTGAGAATCACATCTCTCCTACGTACGTTACCCTAGCTCTTAATTAGTTAACAGAGAAAATGACGCCGTCTCTGCCCTCTATCTGCAGCTTACCTTACAAATGCAGTACTACAAGTTTTACTCTTCAAATCACAACTTCTGCATTTGAAAAGAGATGCTATATATTGTACATGCATCAAACACAACATTCAACAAGCTAAGTAACAACAACCGTACTACGCAATTAGTTATGATCAGGACCGTTAAAAGGGACGGGACTGCAACAATGGCATCCGTTTAATTAGGATGGTGTCATCAATTAAGCTGATCATTAGCTTCCCTCCTCTACATTATATTAAGCACGAGTAAAGTAAGCTTTGGAAATATACGTAACGTAACCACATATCATGATTTCCGACAAGTTCCTAACATCATGTTCCTATGGATATTAAGTCAAAAAGGGGGCCAAAAAAAAAAACAAATATATAATAATTAAGCAGTTAAAAAGCGGCAGATTGCCGAGTTTTTAAATTAGGGTTTATGGAAGTAATTAAAGAGGTTTAGAGCCAGAGGGCGCCGGCGTCCTTGAGGAGAGGGACCAAGGAGCCGTTGATGTGGCAGGCCATGAGCGTCTCTATCCCGCCCAGGTACTTCCCGCCGACGAACACCGCCGGCACCGGCTGCCTCCCCACCGCCACCCCGCCGCCCTCCGAGGACGAGGAGGAGGATTCCTGGAGGAGGTGGAAGAGGACGGCCTGGATGTCGGGAGCTCCCGAAGCGAGGTGGTCGAGCTCGACGATGGTGGGGCCGACGCCGAGGCCGAAGAGGAGGCGCTTGACCACGGTGCACATGCAGCAGCCGCTCATGCTGAACACCACCACCGCGTTGCTCCCGGCCACCTCCCGCACCACCTCGTACGGGCTCGTGCTCTTCTGATGACGATCCGCCGTCGTAATGGGAGAAGCAGTAGTAATCTCCGGGACCTCCATCGCCCCCGCCACCACGCTGCTGCTGCTGCTCCCCATCGCGACCGTCACCGCCGGTAGTTTCTTCGCCACCACCTGCATATCTGGTGATCTCTCTCTTTGGTAAGGATTCGCTTTTTTTTTCTTTTTTTAACACAAACAATGAGACAATACAAGTGTTGAGGGTTTGTGTGTGGGGGATATATAGTAGTCAAACTCTCAAACGAGGAACAGCTTAATAAATGAAGGAGAGAAGAAAAAAAACTGAAACTGATGATGATGATGATGGGGTATAGAGTATAGACTATAGAGGGATCGGAACAGTACTTTTTATCGGATTGACATTGAAAAAAAAGAGAGAGAGAGAGAGAGAGAGAAGGGGGAGGAATGTACCGTAGCCGGCAGCTTCTGACGACGGAGCTATTAATTGTCTTGAACTTTCTTTGTGATCTCTGCTGCTGCGGCTGCCCGGTCGCGGGTTTACCTTCTTTGGCTACTCTACCTTAACTTTAACGCAGCTCTTATAGCTCGATCTCTATATATAATTAAAATGTACGTTGTGGGTATGGTTTATATAATTAAGTAGCTCCCTCCCTCTGCATAAACGTGACAAGAGTCACGTAGAACAACAGACAACAGAGGAGGGCTCCTGCAGGTGATTCTAGCTAAGTCCAACCAACTGAGAGAGAGAGAGAGAGAGAGAGAGAGAGATCACAACAGAAAAGGATTCTGTTGGGAGTAATGATGGTCATACATATATTATATATGGCTATAACTCGCTTGTTATTGGATTGGGGGATTGATTTGCTAGGCTAGCTACAGTCACGCCTATTGTACTCAAAATGACTTACAGAGAGGGAGGCGGAGTAGTCCAGCAGTCAGGCTGCGACTGGCAGCTGACCTGACCGACCACTGCAGAAGAGAGATGGCAGGAGGGAGTCATACGCGTGATTCTTTTCTTCCTCCCACTCCACTCCAGGTAGCCTCCTCTTTCCTTTTGTGCCGTACGCTCCTGTTTGTGTTTCACAAAACGGAAACAAACAAACAAACCATAAAAACCCCAAAATATTATATGCATGCAGCCAACGGGCCGGGAGACCCAGGTTTAATTTGGGACGAATTTTGCCAAATTCATCTCATCCCCATTTTCAAGTCATAATTGCATACACTCTCCATCTTCATATAGGTGTAATTCCCGCGCAATTTAGAGCAAACATAATTAATATCTAATTTCTTAATTATGAGAAATTAGGAATAAAAAAATTACATGTATTTATGGAACTAAAAAGGTAAAACGAAGGTTTTTTCGTATCATATTATTATTAAATTTTCAAGGAAGATGAAGGAGATAGAGATCAAATTAATGAAATTGTGTATATGTAATATCCAAACCACATGCGAGACAGTTATGGATATGCGAATTGTTCGAGAATATCTAAATCTATCTTCACCATTTTCCTTAGGGGTATTACCCATATTCGTTGAACATCATATCAGTTTCCCTCGTTCAATGGTTCGAGAAAACTCAGATACCCACAATTAAGAATACAATTGACTTCACTACTCTCTACTTGTTTTCCTTCTTCATGGTTTTCCAGCCAATAACCCAGCATCCACTTCCCATTGGATTGCTTTTCAATCTCAGCATATCAGCAGCCATGGGGATAGGGTCACCATCTCCACAGTTGAGAGATGTTGTACTTTCTTTTTTACAGCCAGTGTTAACACATTTGTGAGGAGAAACCCTAAGTCTTCTCTTACCTTTCTCATTAGAAATCACAGTTTATATAGATGGAAAGAATAGTACAAAGCTCTCTGATGTTGCTTACATTTCAAGAAAGAAGACAAATCTTGCAAGGAAAGAAAGGACAGCCCGAAAAGGGTAAAAGTTACAAAAACAAAGTTCAGGTACTACTTGGCACTTTGCCAGAAACGACATCACTCCAAGACCTCTTCTTCACGTCCGTTTTAGCCAACCCGGTGTCGTTCGCTGTCGTCTTCTTCTCCCCTGTTTCTGTGCTGTCGATCGTTGCAGAGTTCAAAAGGAGTGAAAATCCCTCGTTTTCCCCTGATACCCCACCCCCCCCCCCCCCCCCCCCCGGGCAAGCCGGTGGGCAGATATTGAGGACACCAAGCTTGGAGAGGAGCAGCGAGAATGGCGCAGGTGGAAGCGGATTTGTGAAGAGGTCTGCAAGTTGGTGGACCGAAGAGACATGGAGAACCTTCACTGTTTTGTCCAGAATATTTTCGCGAACGAAGTGCCAGTCAAGTTCGATGTGCTTCGTTCGTTCGTGAAAAGTGGGATTTTCAGCAATATAAATCGCCGACTGATTGTCACAGTAGATTGTTGTTGGCTGAGGATGAGGAATTTGAAATTCATTGAGAAGGTAAAGTAACCATTGTACCTCACAGGTTGTATATGCGAGAGCTCTGTACTCAGCCTCATAGGAAGATCTTGAAATGGTGGTTTGTTTCTTGCTTTTCCTGGAAATCAAGGAATCCCCAAGATACACACAGTAGCCAGTGACAGAACGTCTTGTGTCCACGCAAGCATCCCAGTATGAGTCACTGAAGGCCTTCAAATGGAGAGTAGAAGAAGCTGGGAAGAAGAGCCCAGATGAAGGTGCAGACTTGAGGTAACGCAAGATCCTGACTACTGCTTTGTAATGATCATTGCTGGGGTTGGGCATGTATTGGCTTACTTGCTGGGTTGCATAGCTTATTATATCTGGCCTTGTTGTAGTGAGATAGATGAGTTTTCCCACTAGTCTCCTGTAGGTTTCTGGAATAGGAAACGGATCCGAATGTTCAACTGAAAGATGATGCTTGTAATCCATTGGAGTAGTGGATGGTTTGGAGTTGAGAAGGTTTGCTTCCTCAGGAATCTCCAGTGTATACTTCCTTTGAGAAATGTGAATTCCCTTTTTGCTTCTGGCAACTTCAATGCCAAGGAAAAATTTCTAAGTTCCCCATATCTTTGATGTTGAATGTGTGATGTAGAAATGTCTTGAGGCTTTGAATTTCATCCAGATTATTCCCTCCAATAACCAAATCATCCACGTAAACCAGTATGCAGGTGTAGGAAGAACCTGTTGATTTGTAGAAAAGAGAGCGATCCACTTTGCTTGGAGAGTAACCTTGTGACTGCAGTTTGGTTGCCAACTTTGTGAACCACTGCCATTAAGCTTGTTTTAGTCCATAGATTGATTTCTTGAGGCGGCAGACTGGATTTTTGAAACCTGGAGGGGGGATGTAGCCAGGTGGGAGTTTCATGTAAACCTCCTGATCCAATTCGCCATGTAGAAAGGCGTTGTTAACATCCAATTGTTAGATATGCCAGTTTTGGGATGCAGCAATAGCTAGGAACAGCCTGATAGTGGTCATTTTCACTACAGGAGCAAAAGTGTCCTGACAATCCACTCCTTCCTGTTGACTGTAGCCTTTTGCTATAAGTCTTGCTTTCTATCTTTCCAAAATGCCATCTGCCAAATGCTTGTTTTTATAGACCCATTTGTTACCCACTGCTTTCTTCCCAGGTGGGAGTTTAACCACATCCCAAATTTGGTTGGATTCCAAAGCCTTTGTTTCAGTTGTCATTGTATCATTCCATTATGGAAACAAAATGGCTTCCTTGTATGATTCTGGTTCTTTGAGGGATAAAATGCTTAGAACAAAATGTTTGTGATTAGGATATAAAGTAGAATAGTCAATGACTGATGAGAGAGGATGTTTCATAACTGGAGATGCCAACTGGTTGGGATGACTGGTTGAAGAATGATGTTGAAGCATGTTACAATGATATTGTTGTAGGTGGGAATGACGTTTGATGGTTCTAGTGGATTTGCGGACAGGGATAGGGTCTGTTTGTGGTGGTGGGGGAGGTGGTGTAGGAGATGGAGAATCATGATTAGAGTCATTTTCAGTATCTGTGTCAAAGTGGTGATCCGGAATGAGTGGGGAAGGGTCAAGGAGTGGAGAAGGAGAGTAAGATGGACTTGAGTCATCAAATAAGGCTGGATAAGAGGGAGTTGAGTAGGCTGGGTTTTGGTTTGGGGTAGAGTTGTGAAAAGAGAATATGTGTTCATGAAATTGAACATCTCTGGATAAAAACATCACGAGTGAGAATGTCATAAATTTTATAACCCTTCATTCCATTTTGAAAGCCAATGAACACACCTTTCCTAGCTCTAGGATCAAACTTCCCTCTGTGATTGGCTAGGGTACTATCAAAACATAAGCATCCAAAGACTCTGAGGTCAGGTAGGTCTGGTGGTTCATTATGGAGTTTTTCATATGGTGTTTGATTCCCAAGAACAAGAGTGGGAACCCTGTTGATTAAGTAGACTGAGTGTTTGACACAGTCTCACCAAAAAGCAGGAGGGAGATTGGCCTGAAATTTGAGGGCTCTAGCAACAGCTAGAATATGCTGATGCTTCCTCTCTACTTTGTTGTTTTGTTGAGGAGTCTCAACACAGCTCAACTCATGAAGGATGCCAGTTTGGTTAAAGATATCAGTCATGGTGAATTCTCTACCTTGGTCACTCCTAATTCTCTTAACTTTGGTTTGAAACTGTCTTTCTGCATAGGAACAGAAAGCTTGAAGTTTTGGTCTAGCTTCTAATTTAGTTTGTAAGGAAATCAACCAAGTCATCCTACTATAATCATCAACAATTATGAGAAAATACTTGAAACCATCATAACTAGGGACTGGATTTGGTCCCCAGATGTCAACATGTAGCAAATCAAAAACTTGTTTGGTTACAGCGGTACTGGAAGGAAATGGGAGTCTCTTCTGCCTAGCAAAATGACAGACATCACAGGCTATAGAGCTGTTTGTATATATATGTGGACAAAATGTTTGCAAAAAGGGCACTTTTGAATGAGAGACATGGCCTAGTCTATGGTGCCAGATATCAAAGGCTTGTGTGCTGGCAGCTAAGATAAGTTTTGGTGAGTTGGTATCTACAGGGGTCTCAAGGTGGTAAAGGCCAGAGGAGAGCTTAGCAGAACCAGTCATCCTCCTTAGTTGCATATCATGGATCAAACAGACATTGGAAATGAAGGTAAGGCAAAGAGATTTGTCTTTGGTAAGTTGACTGACAGAGATAAGATTGAAGCTGAATTGAGGAACAAATAAGGCTTCATGTAAAATGAGCCTAGCAACACAAGTGATAGTGCCTATGTGTGTTGCTTGTACTTTATCTCATGTTGGTAAGGTAATGAAGATGTTGTTTGTGCTTCTGTAGTTTGTTAAATAACTAAGGGAACAAACTATGTGGTCAGAAGCTCCAGTGCCAAGAATCCAGGTTTGATGATGTCGTGTTTTATCACTCACATTGAGCAGAAATTTACCTGGGGGGTTTGTTGGTTTGGTGGTGAAAGTAGCATCAGTAAAGGGAGAGTTGGCACTGGTGGAAGGCCTGGGATTACCTTTGTCATGCATGAGTGACATCAGTTTCATGTAATCTGCCTTGGTGAGCTTCACCTCTTGCTGTAAATCATCTGAACTGGCTGTGTTCACTTGAAGTTTGTTGCGTGGGGGTCCTCTTGGGTTTGGGTAGCCATGTTTGTTGAAGCATTTGTCCTCTATATGACCTTGTTTCTTGCAGAATGTACACTCAAGTGGTTTTCCAGAAGGATTGGAAGATCTGGTATTCATCCCTGGGGGCCAGCCATGCTTGTGGTATTCATCCTCATTGTGGCCTAAGAACTTGCAGTGAGTGCAGTAAGGGCGTGGCCTTCTGATTTGAGTATTGTTGCTGGTCTGAGCTGCAAGAGTCAGTGCTTCTCCTGAGAGAACTTTGGATGGCAGTGTGCCATACTATTGTCTTTCATGCTGCAACATCCTCTGCAAGACTCGATCTATGGATGGCAATGAATCACCAAAAAGAACTTGGGATCTGACGCTGGAGAAGTTCTCATTCAATGCTCTTAGAAATTGAATAACATAATTTATGTCCCTGTATGCAAATACCAATCTCATAGCAGCACATGTTTCTCGACTAGTTGGTGTGCAGGTACAATGTTCAAGTGGCTGGTAGTTGTCTAATTCATCTCGAATGGCAATGAGGTTGCCATAATACTCAGTTACTGACTGGCTACCTTGTTTGAGAGTGCTTAGAGATTCAGTAAGTTTAGCAATCCTTACCACATCACCCTGACCATAACGAGATCTGAGACTGCGCCATGCTTCAAGTGAAGTTTTGCAAGACATGATGGTCTTCCTGATGGTTGCTTCAACGGTCTGTTGGATCCATGAGAGAACCATGACATTGCTCCTGTTCCTGTTCCAAGCCCAAGCATTTGGATGATATGCGCCTGGATGTGGAATGGAACCATTGATGAAGCCAAGCTTGTTCTTGGCTCCCAAAGCATTCAACATGGCCTGACTCCAATCATTGTAGTTGGTGGGGGTAAGTTTCTCGCCCACTAACAGCAACCCTGGTTGTTCAGAGCCATGGAGATTGTAGGGGTCTGCCATGGGATCAACAGGAGGATTGACAGCAACAGTATTTGCAACTTCATTTGCAGCGTTGTTGACTGGATCGTTTGGCTGGACAGTGGCAGTCATTGTGACGACGACTAGGGTTTATAGAGGCTCTGATACCATGTTAACACATTTGTGAGGAGAAACCCAGTCTTCTCTTACCTTTCTCATTAGAAATCACAGCTTATATAGCTGGATAGAACAGTACAAAGCTCTCTGATGTTGCATACATTTCAAGAAAGAAGACAAATCTTGCAAGAAAAGAAAGGACAACCCGAAAAGGGTAAAAGTTACAAAAAGAAAGTTCAGGTACTACTTGGCACTTTGCCAGAAACGACATCACTCCAAGACCTCTTCCTCACGTCCGTTTTAGCCAACCCTGTGTCGTTTGGTGTCGTCTTCTTCTCACCTGTTTCTGTGCTGTCGACCGTTGCATAGTTCAAAAGGAGTGAAAATCCCTCGTTTTCTCCTGATAGTCGGTAAAAGTGAAAGTGAAAAAAGAAGGGGAAAAAACAAGAAATTCTACCGTGTATATTTACTGAGGGAATAATTCAGAATATGTTACGTTTTTACATGCAAAAACAACCCATATATGTACAAGAGGTCGTCGTAGTTATGACAAGACAACCTTCACGTAATTATGATGACAAGCCTAGCTGCGCTAATTAATGACAAAACGGAGCGAAGCAAACCCCCAACGGCCCCCAGACCAGACACGAAAACGACGCCACTTTCTCCCAACACGACTCCATGCAGCTCCGTTCCCGAATGCTAATGATCGTCGCCGCCGACACGTACGCCGACGCCGCGTGCTTCACCAGATGGTTCCTGATCGCGATGCTTGACGGGTCGAACTCGTACCCGTACCCGTTCCCGTTCCCCTCGTGGTGATGATAATTAGCTGCGCCCCACAGGTGGCTCGTCGGAGATCCGCCCGAGATTATGTCCTTCAGGCTCGTGTAACGCAGCCCCACGTCGTCGTCGTCGGAGTTGTCGTCGCTGTGGATGGGGGAGGAGGTGGATCGGGCCATGCGTGGTGGGGGTGTTTCCTGGTAAAGCGGCCGGCGGTGTGGATCTTGTGGATTAATCATGGTCGGCGCCGCGGCTGGGACGTTGTGACGGTGGTGGTGAATGGGGAAGAGGTTCGGTGGAGAACGGGGATGAGGGGAAAGCTGTCGTCCATTATGTGGTTTGTGGAGATTAATTGGGAAGTTTGCGGAACAAAAATGGTTGAGATTTTGTTTTTTGGGGAGATTTTCTGTTAGATGGATGAAAAGCTGAGGGAGATTTTATATTAGAGGTGATGATTATCCTTGAAACGAATCTAATTTTATATTTCTGGAGGTCATCTTGTTTGGTTAGATTTGGTCGTTGTTGGTGAATGCATGATTGTCCATTTATATAGGCTACCCCTTCTCATACCGATTTTAGTTATGGTTGATCGTTTCGTTGGACTAAAGTTTATAACTGACTTCACATTTTTCGGTTTTTTTAAACGGTTTGATTACCATTTATAATATCATATCACTCTTGACCTGTAAATGTATGATACTATTTTTCCTAAGTGCATGTGGTCCCATAATTAATTCTCTTGATACTAGTAATCTTATGTGAAAGTTGAGATGCAAAAGTAGGATGACAATTTCGATCTGACTCATTTTACTCGATTTATTTGGCCTATTTTGGGGCGGGTTCGACCCTCCCCGTAGGCGGGGTGGGCATGGGTACTCTCATCGACCCGACCTGCCTTGATCCGCCTCATTCTTGACCCGTTCTTGCCTAAATTACATGTAATCTTAGTCAAATTACTTAGAAATTTTCTTTTATTACATCATAATTTTGCTATAATAAAGTTATAAATTAGTGAAAACATCAATTTCTCTAATAATTTAACTACATTTATCATAATATTGTTTGTTTTCTTGGTCTTATAATAGAAATAACGAATATTTCTAATGTTTTTCATATAAACTAGCTTATTACCCGGCCCATTGGCCGAATTACTTTAAATTACATATGCATGGAATGGTAGAGAAAGATGAGTTAAAAAAGATGAGTTAAAATGAAAGTGGCAGAGCTTCTACTTTTGAGAATTTTACATTCAAAACATTAATATTTGTATTTAAAAAATTATCAAATATACTCCGAAATTTTAGACAAAATTCTAATATATCTCTTATTTTTTAATTCAATATATACATCCATATCAATAATAAAATATTAAATTTTAATATCCCATTCGAAAGATTTGTTATCAATTTTATACATAAATATCTAATTCATTATGTATTTATTTATAAAAGAAAAAATTAAAAGTATAGTCACAGTTATACCCCTCCCTCCTCAATCTCTATGCTTTCCCCAAATGGCATTGGTAGTACTCCTCTTCACAGTCTTAGTGTTTTTCATCATCTTCCAATCTTTCTAGCCATGCATCACCATCAACCTTTCGTTCCTTTATGCCAAAAGCGTATCATCTAAAAAATCCTAGGATTCTAGTGCAAAATTTTTTTTACCAATCCAGACTATCTCTAGATCCATGGAGACCTCAATAACCTCATAATACCCATCTCTTCAAATCTGGTCTAGAGCTCTGAATATAATTAAAAAAAAGTTCAAATCACATAGTCATTACACATTCAGATAAATAAGCCTATGGTGGATTGGTGGTTCCCAACGTCAATGTAAAAGACATTCAATAAATGCACTCATTACTCAACTTCGACTACCTGATGAAATACTAAAATTCAACCAACTACCACTAATACCATAAATAATAAGTATATTTCTGTTAGCCCCGATAAGCCAAAACATGGCATGATCAATGATCCAATAATACAAATTGCACAAAAAGTGCATTTACTCACTCTCGACCCGAATCGGTCAAGTAAGCCCAATAGGAACCTAGATCTGGGAAGGGTGCACCTAACGTCAATACCAATGAAACAACTATATGCACTTGAGAGAAAGAAGCTACCGAACTTTAAGGCCACACGCCAATTTGGCTTGTTAGGCTGATGCTAAAACATTTTAATTGATTACAAACCTTGGAACCACTCAAAAAGACACAGTGCCATAGATAGACATGTGTATGAACCATTATTAAATGAACTTAGAGTATCCTGACACGACTCTCAATGCACCAAATATAGCATTAATGATGTTTAACCTTATTTACCTAGTATAAATAAGGTGGAAGTCTCTAGAGATTACAGACATTAATACACAATTTCTCAAAACAATCAATATGAAATAATTTTCTATCTTAGTCTGGCCTGCACCCGAACTAATCAGTTACCAAATATAAAATCATTCACTTATTCTCCCACAAATGCAAACCATCTTAGTCAAATTACTTAGAAATTTTCTTTTGTTTAGGGATGGCAACGGGTCGGGTTGGGCGCGGATAGTGCATATCCGTTACCCTATCCAAAGTAGTTCGGGTTTTACCCATACCCATACCCCCTAAAAAAATGGGTAGAAAATTAAAACCATGCCCATACCCGTTCGGGTTTCGGGTATCCACGGATATCCATGGGTAATAAAATCTCTTTATAACTCCAACAAATCTGTTAAGATTCACACGTATTCTCACATTGCATAAGAGGACAAACACGACAATAATTCACTAGAATGAAGAACATTAATTAAAACAACACGATTGCATAAAAACTTTATATTTATATGCTAAATAAAAAATATGATCGAGAAAAATAATGATTTTCTAGACAAAATACACGCGCATGTGTATAATCGGGCGGGTTCGGGTTGGATAGTGTGAAAACCATGCCCACCCATTAACCGCAATATTCGGATTCGGGTTTTACCCATACCCGCTAAAAGTCCTTTGGGTTCGGGTTTTACCCTACCCAATTAGGTCGGATTCGGGCGGATATCCACGGTTACGGATATTTTTGCCATCATAATTTTGCTATAATAAAGTTATAAATTAGTGAAAACCTCAATTTCTCTAATAATTTAACTACATTTATCATAATATTGTTTGTTTTCTTGGTCTTATAATAGAAATAACGAATATTTCTAATATTTTTCATATAAATTGCATACTCATTGGATTGACCTGCCCCGAACTGCTATCCGTGATAAATTACCCGACCTACATACCACGGGGAGGGTTTGGGTACCAAGAAACCCGTCCCGGATCTGCCTCATTGTCATTACTATGCAAAAGGTTATGTGAACTAGAATAAAAGTGTCAACATCATATAAATTGGGCTAATTGTTATAACATTTATCGTTTATTTCAATATGATAGATTTGTCCAAAATGAGTGTAAATAGTTATACATTTTTAAGGGTTAATTGGATAGACCATTATTGATAGAAATGGCTATTTCTCGATTATATAAGAGGCTGACTAAGTTATATTGCTAATCAAATTTGATTATTTTGTGTCAAATTAGACATTCTAGTTCTGTTCGGCAAACCCTGATACCCATTACCCACTATAAATCATAACATGTCCTTTTCTCCGTACATTTGAAAATATAGAAAAGGAACACTGGGAAATACCAGAGAATTAGGGAAAAAATCTGAAAGTACCACTTTTCAAAAGAAAATTTCAAAAATACCACTCAATTTCAAAAAAATTCAAAAATACCATCTTTTCAAAAATCGCCACCCCACCCTGAGGTTTACACGAAAACCGCTGGGCGGGGGCGCGATTTTCCAATGCAAACCGCTGGACTAAGGGGAGGTTATAAAAACCGCTGGGTGGGGCGGCGATTTTGGGCCAAACCGCCACCCCACCCAGCAGTTTGGTCAAAAAAAAATTCCGATCAACTCCTAACTTCGGCCAAACCGTCATTTGCTACCCCGAACTAGCCTTTTTTTTATTTCGTCAAACTTTGGGCGGCCATAACTTTGTGCTCCAAAATCCTAACTTCATGAATTTTTTTTAATTCCGCATAAATTTTTAATATATACAACTTTTAAGATAATCATAATTTCGAAATGTACATGGATTTGTGAAAAGTAAAGGTAAAGTTATTCCCAAGGTCCCTTATATCCACAAATAATTCCTATTTTGAAAATTTCATCCTAGTAAAAATTGTAGATCTTGAAAAGTTATGCAAAATGAAAAAAAAAATCGCTACGATCGGATACCCGAGTGCAAAGTTACGTTCGCTTGAAATTTCGGCCGAAGTTAGGAGTTGATCGGGAATTTTTTTTTTTACCAAACTGCTAGGTGGGGTGGCGGTTTGGCCCAAAACCGCCGCCCACCAAGCGGTTTTTATAACCGCCCCTTAGCCCATAGAAAACCGTGCCCCGCCCAGTGGTTTTCGTGTAAATCGCAGAGGGGTGGCAGTTTTTGAAAAAGGATGGTATTTTTTGAATTTTTTGGAATTGGGTGATATTTTTGGAATCCTTTTTTAAACAACAGTGGTATTTCTGGAAAAAGTCCGAATTACCTAAAATGGTCTCCAATCATATCCACTTTCAAGATACCACATAGCAACGGCCAAGGAGGGTACAAAAGGTACAAATCCCCCCCCCCCCCCCCCCCCCCCATGTAGGGATGGCAACAAAACCCGAACCCACGGGTACCCACCCGACCCAACCCGGTCAACGCGGGTAAAATCCGTGTTGACGGGTTTTGGGCCGGGTTCGGATTTAAACCCGCTACACTATTCACCGGGTCGGGTTGGGTTTGGGTTTAGGTAAACCCGACCCATGGGTACCCGCCCACACACATATAGGGGTCGTTTGCTTGTTGGATTTGGGTCATGGATTTGGTACCCAAATCCCAAGCTTGATGGATTTAATATAAGTCCATTGTTTGTTTAAGGGTGCTAAATCCGTGGGGTCCACGGATTTGGTCTTTATTTTGGAACCAAATCCGTGGACCCCACGGACTTATAAATCCCACATATTGATTTGGGATTTGCAAATCCTTGATGGTTAGTTATTTATTTAACAAATCCATCACAAATCCATCATCAAATCTATCATGCAAACATTAGACTCTTCAAATCCATATTCCAATAAATCCAACATAAATCCCAAGGTTTTTATTGGCCAAAACCCTCATTTTTCAAATCCAACAAGCAAACGACCCCATAATCCCGGTATATTTAATATTCTAAATAATATATTTTCCTTAAACAATTAATATTCTTTATGTTTGTGGAGACATGTGTAATTTGTTCTTTCTAATTGTTTAGAATGAAGTTGATATTATGAAGTGGAGAGTGAAGAAACTTAGTTGACGAGGAAGAAGCTTTCAATTAATCTTTTGTTTATAGATGTTTATCTTTAATTTTGAACAATTTGTATTGATCATTTGCGGTTTGCTTGTATGCTCTAGATTGGTGTTTTTTTGTATGATTAATTTGTATGAGAAAATTGATGTTAAACTTTTATTTTGAAAAAAACTTGTTATTGTAAATTTTTTACCATAAAAACCCACGGGTACCCATGAACCCGCGGATACCCAGTGGTTGGGTTTGAGTTTTTCAAACCCAACGGATTTTACCCCAGGCTTTTTTAGCGGATAAACCCATGGATTTGGCTTTGGGTTTGACAAAACCCGTCCCAACCCGACCCATTGCCATCCCTTACTGCCATGAGACATTGAAAGTCTTTTATTTTTCCTAGGTTGGAAGGTTTTGTATTTGCGGGCCAGGGCCAGCCTTTGCTTTCATGGTTTGTCCATAATTGGGCCACTATTGGGCCGGCCAAAATTGTAATATGGGCCGTATGTGTTCTAGCCTCTTCCGTGGCTCATTGGAGCGCTTGGGCTATGTCTGGTTTAGCTGAACCAAGCCCAGAGGAGTTAGCTTTCCATGATCATGGAATCGACCCAATGCAAATGGCGTTGAACAAGTATATTCACGACTTAAATTAAAACAGAAGAATGATATATGCCACAACGAGTTTCGACTGTTGGCAAACTCGGAATTGGCGCGATGGTAGCATTCACTCTCATAAGAAAGTTGCCGCCATTGGTGGCATGATTTATGGTTTTGCCCACAAACATCAGCTGGTGCTCTGTTAAATCAACAAAGTTGAGACTGGTAAAGGATGATTTATGCCTAGTATGATGGCTAGGAATTAGGAGAATTGGTGTTAAATTGATATTTGGAACTAACTTTTCCTCTCACTTGGATTGGGTATTGATTGCAGTTTGCAATTGTCTTCTCGCAAGATACTGATACGTACTGTCTCAATTTCTTAAGTGCAAAAAGAAGACACTTCGGTTATCAATTGTTTAGATAAACTAATTAAGACACCAACTATGACAACTCTAAGAGAATGTATTGACGCAAAAATAAATTGTGAGAGAGGGAATGGTTGCTTTTTACTTTTTATTTTCATTATTTGTTTAGTAATTGAATTTCCTTGTAAGATAATTGTCGAATATAAAAAATTCAAAAGCAATGCCGTTTCTATGAACAAAGAGATAGATTACAAGAGATTATCATCTCCCATGCATATAGAGTTAGTAGTTAGGACTTGTTTTGGGGTAAATACGGAAGAGCGAGATGTCATGTTACGTTTTGTGGTTTTTTTTTTTTTGACAAGGGATGTGCTTATATTGCAATCTGGAAATCACGGTTACAAGAGGCGGATTACATCAATGGAACAAAAGCAAAATGAACACTCTAATAAAAGGCAGAACAATCAAAGACAAAAGCAAAGCTAGAGAACCAGCCACAAGAAAGAGCAGGCAAGATTGAACTACACCAATATCAGAGAGCCATCACCAGAGCCAAGGAAGAGTTAGTAGTTAGGACTTGTTTTGGGGTAAATACGGAAGAGCGAGATGTCATGTTACGTTTTGTGGTATTTTTTTTTTTTGACAAGGGATGTGCTTATATTGCAATCTGGAAATCACGGTTACAAGAGGCGGATTACATCAATGGAACAAAAGCAAAATGAACACTCTAATAAAAGGCAGAACAATCAAAGACAAAAGCAAAGCTAGAGAACCAGCCACAAGAAAGAGCAGGCAAGATTGAACTACACCAATATCAGAGAGCCATCACCAGAGCCAAGGAAGTGAACCCAAGAACCTCATGCTTCCACAACCAACAGATCAGCAACAAAGCAGGGTTTCAACTCTCCCAAAACAGACAAGACCATGGCGCTTGAAAACACAACGCCATAAGCCGCCTCCTGGGGATCGTTCGAAGACGATCCATCACAGTGAATCACAAGGTTGCAATTACATGGCGGTGGGCAGGGCTGAAACCGGGATGCTCAGAGTTGAAAAAAAGGTCGAGGAAGCCGAAGGCAGGATGGACCGAGAAATGGAGAGACAAAGAACTCCAGCCTAGTCTCAACCGAAACCCAGAACAGCTGCCGATGACAAACGGAAATGACACCGAAACCCACAACAGCCGAGAAGAGAAGAGGCTGAGATGCTCACCAACAGTCGACGGCAGGGGACAACGGCGAATGAGTTCTTCCGAACTGAAGAAACCACCAACAAGGAGGAGCCACTCAGGCACCAGATCTCCATCAGAGACTCTTCCAGCTGCAAAATCCGAAACCCAAGCAGAGCAAAGCAAGACCAGAGAGGAGAATCCAAGATCCGAGAAGAAGAGCAACCGCTCCGAAATCTGAAACGCCACATCGGCAGAGAAACCCTAAACTAGAAGATCCGGGTGAAAATCGCCTAAGACAAAGGCATGAAACACAAGAGCAAGAAGAGCAAAGGAAAGTAAAAAAAAAAGAGAGATTGGCAAATCACGTTTATCAATAATCATGCCCTTTGAAAGGTAGAGACAATCTGAGAGAGGATACTACGCTAGTGGGTTTTGGTGTCACTGTATAGAGTTGGCAAAGTAAATCAACTCACCAGAAAGTGTTCAAGATACTTTCTACTTTCGTTCAAAGATGAAGAAAAGAGAGAAGAAAAAAAAAACCAGAGAGCAATTTGTGTGGTACAATGAGCTGATACAGTTGCAATCAAATTAAATGAACACACAAAGAAAGAAAAAGGGGAAGGGGACGTGTTGACACCTAAAATTAATTTGGCCGGAATTAAATGCCGCATTAATTAGTCTCGGCATTTAATTCGATACAGCGGGTAAAAAACGGTGTCGTTTGGAGTCAAGCGGTGCCGCGGAGAGTTAAAACGATACCGCGAAACAGAAAAACGGTACCGCAAGGAAGCCCAGCGGTACCGCGGCACTGGAAACGGCACCGCTCGCCAAAAAACAAAAGAGGAGCCGCGCGTTTAGTTGAGTGTTGGGGAAGGAGTTTTTGTTTGCTCTAATTAATTATTATTATTATTTATTCCTGGTTGGATAGGGAGAAGCGGCACCGCGGAGAGCTAAAACGGTGCCGCGGAATTAAAAACGGTACCGCGAGTAAGCCCAACGGTACCGCGGATTAGCAAACGACAGTGTTTAAATAAAAAACAATGTCGCGAAGGGAAAGGCAAACATAGCCGTTTTGGCGCTAATGATCTCGTTGGTCAACACACGAGTTTGACTAGTGATGACCGGATTAATTAACTAATATTTTTAATGACTTTTTAGCACGGTGTCGTTTAGTTGAAAACGATGCCGCAAGAGGAAGAAACGACACCGAGGATTTAAAAACGATGCCGCGAGTGGGCCAAACGATGCCGCAGTAGTTAAAACGACAACGTTAAATTTAAACCGGTATCGCAAAGTTCAACAGCATTGCAGAAATAGAAAACGACCTTGTTTAATATAGAACAATGTCGAGAGAAATTTCACATAAACGGTGTAAAAACAACATTGTTCCGTGGAACGACATCGCAGGAATAGGAAACGGCGATGGTTAGCCAAAAACAACGTCGTGGCGAGAGGTCAGTTTTGACGATGTGGTGGACTCGATGTCGTTTGTTTATCATGTGGACAGGGTGTTTGGAGGATCGAACCGTGGTGGAGGATTGTCGATTTTGGCTCAGTGTCGTTTTGGCCAAGTTCCCGCGTGTCCAAGCGGTTTCGTACTCGTGGGAGTTACGCAACAAGGAGGGAGTTATCTGCGGTTAACAGGAATGAAGAACGTGGGAGACAAAGGCGCGAAGGCAGTTACTACGACTACGGGGAGAAGAGCGGGGTATAAAGATCGGGAAGAGAGAGAAGCTCAGGACGGCAAAATCAAATCACAAACTGCACCTACGCAGATTTATCTTTTTCTCTCTAGTTCGTAGAACTTCTCTGTCAAAGACCTCTTTTGCAGAGTCGTAGTAGTCGTAGTCGTAGTTGCGGAGCTCTCCAGAGGAACCTCCATAGGAGTAGAGGTAACGTAACTTACAACACTCCCGGTGTGGTTTCTCGTTGAACAGCCTCGTTCGAACGTAGTTTAGAGAGGTGGTGAACCGAGTAACGGTTGTTTGATTAGAAGTCAAAGGTGTATTGATCGAATCAACATCGCCGACACCGGCGGTGGATATTTGACAGTCATCTTGGTTTCTGTTTAATCGATCAAATCAACGGTGCCGACATTCGGTGGCGGATATTTGACGGTTTTTGCTGACTTTGGGTTTTTGTTTCCTTGAAATCAGAGCGCATTGAACGCGCGAGTTTCGCCAACGAAACAAATTGGCACACCTGGTGGGACCCGTGTGTTCGGATGGCTCCGCGAAGGACGAATCACGAGGGCGATCTTCCACCAACTTTAGTGGAGGAAGAGCCAATGGTCAATGTAGAGACTGACCAGAGTGACGGTTCACACGGCGGTTCGAGCAACGACGCCGGTGGGGAAGTGCCAGCAGTGGCGCAAACTGCCAACCAGGGTGAGATAACACGCATGCTTCGCCAAGTCATGGCTGATAACCAACAGGTAAAACCTCACTTAGCCTCTTTGGATGGACGTCTTGATGGTCTTAGTTCTCGGATTGATAGACGTGTTAGCCAACTGGTTGAAGTCGTAGATAAAAACAGAATGGATTTTGAAAGTAACAGACGTGATTTTAATGATTTTAGAGAGTTTTTGAATAGGCCAGTGCCGCAAACAAGGGCTTTGCCGTTAAGAGGAGAGAATCCGTTACACAACGACACTGGCACCAATAGCTTTCCGGTCAATGGCGGCAGAGATACTCAGCCGAGACAGGGCGTTTTGCCGACACCGGTGGTGAGCCCAACAAGTCCGTCGAGAGTAAATCCTGGCGAGACCAGCACTGCGGCTAACACTCGTGTTGAGCCGCCACCAGTGCACAATGTGGGTCCACAAAATATTCCGGAGGCCAGACCCTATGTGGCCCCGATGAGCGGTGGTGGAGGAACGATCAACAATGATCGTGTTCCGCCACGCGGATACCCACAAAACGCGCCTCCTCCTCCAAACGGGCTTGGCATGGATCCTGGTGGATTCGTACCACAAGGGGGGCAACTCGGGGGGCAAGACATTAATGTGATTCGAGATCAAGTAGCACAGATGCTGGCGGATCAGTTTGGTTTAGGTATTAGACCAGCGATGCCGCCGGTGTATCGAAAACCATATCCGGATTGGGTTGATAGATACTACCCCTTTCCACGTGGTTTTCGCGTGCCTGATTTCATCACCTTCAGCGGGACTGGGGATCAGTCCACCGTCGAGCATGTTGGACGATTCACGGTTCAGTGTGGTGATGTGAGTGATTTATTGAAGTTGCGTTTGTTTGGCAACTCGTTGACCGGCCCTGCATTCGCGTGGTACGTCAACTTGCCATCGAACTCGGTTCAAACTTGGCAGCAAATGGAACAAATGTTCCATGCCCAGTTCTACCGTTCTGAGCCAGAAGTAACAATGGCAGACTTGGCACGAATGCGCCAACAGCCAGGAGAAACAGTGGAACACTTTTTAACAGACTTTAAAAATGCAAGAAATCGCTGTTTTGTAAACTTGACAGAACGCGAGTTTGTTAAACTGGCCCAGGGTGGATTAAATTTTGAACTTCGTAAAAAGTTTCAAGATAGGGAGTTTTCTGATTTGTTTCAATTGATGTCCTGCGCTGTAAGATACGAATCTCTTCTTCGTGAAGAAGAACATAAGAGGAGTGGTTCTCGTGGACAATATTTCCCTAATTTTGAAAACTATGGTGTGAATAACGTCGGCAATGATGTTGACGAGGTTGAAGTTGATTTGGTCGAGATCGTGCAGGGGAAGACATATGTGTGTGCTTCTCTAGCCAAGGCCGATGGGGAACTACAAGCTGGAAAACCCAATCGTGCTCCAATTCAACCTAGAAAATATTCTTTCGATGTTTCAAAATCGGATATAATTTTCGACCAGCTTTAAAAAGATGGTCAAATTAAGTTGACTGGAGGGCAAACTATCCCGCCAGCTGAAAAATTAAAAGGAAAACGCTACTGTAAGTGGCACAACAATGTGTCTCACTCAACTAATATGTGTGTAGTGTTTCGAAACGTGGTGCAGGATGCTATTGAAAAAGGTCGGTTCAAGGTACCGGAGCCGAGGAAGGAGGCCATGATTGTTGACACTGACCCGTTTTCCAACGGTGTGGGCGTCAATATGGTCAACATTGTGGGGGGCAACATTGTCGAAGCTCTTTTGTACCACAAAGACCTTGGTTCTCAAAAAATTAGGAGTATGGAAGGGGGATCATGCAACGTCGCAGTTTCAATTACAAAGGTGTTGGGTGAGGCGTGCTTGAACTCGTTGTCCGAGATTGTGAGACCATCAATGCTTGCATTAGGTGGTCCACCAAAATCTGAGTAAGCCACCTCAAGAGAGGGTGACGAAGGCCAAAATTACGGCCTTGCTGGAGGGGTTGCCGATCAACGGCGACGATGCGAGTAACGAGGTGGGAAAGGAAGCAGTGTTGCCGACATTGTAGAAGAAATCTACCTTGGTGTGAAGGAGGATCAACGTTCAACTTTCATAGTGCCATCTTGCATGAATCTTACAGGTACGAGTTAACTCTGCTTCTGATTGGCTTCAAAGATTGTGTTACGTGTGAATGTCATGAAATATTGCATGTGCATGTTGCAGTCTTGCTAGCTAGACAATTTATTGACTTTTATGTTAGATTGTCCAATAAGTGAAGGATTGAGCTATATAGACACTAACGGCGTTGCAACAACAAAATCACCGCCGTTGGAGTGAAGTTGTGGCTTGTTATGTTATATGATTTGAGTTTTTGGTCAAAGTTGTTTAATATGGTTGGCCAGTGTTTACGATGTTGACGAGATAGCCAAAACATCGACATGGAGTAAAAAGCTTTACCATGTAATTTTCGTTGACAATGGTCACATAAGACGAAAGAGGAGCGAGGAACAGGTGCGGGCTTTTCCCTCTTTGTCATTGTGTTGAAAAATAAAAGAAATAATAATAATAATGACAGGAAAAGAGAAATCTTTGTAGCAAAACGCTAGTGTTTATCGGAAAACAATGGTGTTTGTTGCCGCACAACTTCGTGGCAATTCTTTTTGGCCAAAACAGAGGCCGAGGAAAGAAAGTTCAGGGCTGTTATGGACGAAGTACCTTTGCGGCCGTGAAAAAATTGTTTACTAAAATTTCTGTCAAAACAATGTTGTTTATTGGCCTAAAACGACTATGCCGCGACTCTTTAGTTTTTATTTGAGAAAAGAAAAACTTAGGCCACTTATCCGCAGCTTTGCGGGAAGAGTGCCGCCAGGTCTGTTTTGAGAAGAGCAGCGTTGTTAGAATAAAAAAAAATTATTATATGTAAAAAAAAAGAAGCAAGAGAGTGTGCGGCCAAAAAAAAATATACAAAAGAAAAAAAAAATTAATCTCAGCGCTACCGCTGTTGCTAGCAGGCATGAAAAGAAAAAAAAA